GCATAAAGAACCATAAATAGAGGCACCTTCCGAAATTCAGTTTAATTTTACAGGTTGTGGTGGGGTATATAAGATTCGACATAACACTCTTACTTGTTAAGTTGTGTCGTTCGTCTTTGCATTCATCAGGTTAACCTCTGCAAGTTCCCTCTCATTAACTCTTTTTAAGACAAGTACATTGCTGATTATTGACCACAATCCTTCGTGTTATTTTCCTGTTACAGAATTGATGTTCAGTATAGGCAAAAATCTTCTCCTTTCTTATGAAACGACAAATTTCCGTCTACCCAAGGTCCATCATCAGTTCTTAAAAAAATTAAGAATACTCGACTTGATTATTGATTTTCAAAAAACCAATTAAGTACATGACTTCTACCGTCTTCGTTACATAGAAGTTGTCTAATAATAACCTATTTTCAATGTAATATATAAATAAATACTTATTTATTCCTTAGACATCTCCGACACAAAACTGAAGAATCTGTATGAGTTTTTATATTGGCTTTTAGTTTCTTTAAATTTATTATTGTGGTAAGTATTTACTTGCTTCTAATGGCATCACTGTGTAAAGACCATTATTTTAGCATTTAACCCTTTACTTTGTTTTTGAAGAGTTTCCATAAAGTGACAGCAATTATTCAAAATAGATGTTAACGACCTACAAAAAAAAGATATGAATCTTAAAGGATTATGAATGTAAACAAATGGTCATACATGCGAAAAATACAATATTTTGGACAAATGCATATTTGTGTATATGCATTTTTTGATGAATTTTTGTTATTCAAGGTCTTTAATACGCTACAAATAGACATACACATACATATAGCGTTGATTGAGAAGTTTTCATCCGTATAAAACCCACATGGACTTTGTATGCACATGTATCTACTGTTTCAAACCCACTAAATTCAATAAATAAATATGTACATTTATTTCTTCTGATTTGGAGTAAAACCAATGTTTACCTTTATATATTGCTGTAGAATAATGTATACGAAGCGAGTATCTACATGCAATACTAGATACAGCAAAATACTCACGTGCACATGACTACCACAACAACAAATAACTAGTGTTACAACCACATAAACCCAAATATCTACTCATACGTACAATCACGCATATTCGGACAGAAAGAGTAAAATGAAGTAAAAAAAAACTCTCAAGAGAATAAATAAAGGAAATAACTATTATAAAATAGAATCTATGTTTGCTGTTCCGTTAGGTGTAACCAAAGTAAAGATTTCAGTCATAATTTGGGGGCAAATTTGTGTTATGATCGTTTTGCGAAATTTATAATAATTTAAACCTTAGTAAACAAATATATAGGCCATCCAAAACACACATCGGAGTTACTTCCTACGTCAATTAAGGATGTTTCTCAGTTTGTCCATGTAAACTTAGTATTTCACCTAATGTCAAAAAATTAGAATAAAATTGGTATTATATTTAATTTATTAAGCAAAATCGGTTCAAATTAAACAAGTTATTAAATTAAATTTGTTAAGTATTATTAAATTAACAGTTCAATTAATCTAAAATCCATCCAAATGCTGATTGAACATGAAGTCTGTGATTCTCTTAAGAAATAATAAGATATGAAAGTGTGCTTTTGGAAAAATAATGGCCAATAAAAAAATATACTATAATAAGATGTGGCCCGCCCAAAAACATTTGAATCATAATATGTCCTAGAATAGTAGAATGGACAGTATCTTGCTTTTGTATCTAATCATGGCTAAATAAATGTAATCTGATAGGCTTTTGCTAGTAAGTGTGACTTTACCGTTCCGGACATCTGAAGGTTATACTAGGTTGTTGAGGAACTGGAGACAGTTGAGCGCATCATCTGCCAATGTCCTAAAATACAAGAAGAATTAGGGGATATTGCAGAGTGTAATCATGCAGGGTACCCATATGTTGGTAGAACATACGGTAATTGGACTATTAGGATTCTGAATCGATTTACTTTTGGGAACCATTGTGATTCCCTTGAGCTTCAGTCTAGTTAGTGTCCTATTCCTGTTTCAGTTCATTATCTGTTACTTAATTATTCTTGATTCTTCACTATCTCTGAAGGGAAGCAAAATGGACCTTAGTGATCAACTAGTAGAGTTCCACCTCTTTGGTGCAACATTTCTTCACCGAAACTAACTCACCTAATATGAAGAAGAGCTTAAGTTGAGTTATAAACAAGAGCTTAAGTTAAGTTACATGGTACGTGGAATGGCCCATTGTGGTATATTTTAAATGACTCCTCTCTGACTTAGACAATCTTTCAAATATCTTGGTCATCAATGTACTTCTAACAAATCTGATTAAATATAAATGTTATAATGTAACGTTTAACTAACGAGTTAGTAACACATTTTGATATTGTCCAGATCGTGAAGTAAATATTATCGTAAAAAAATGACGTTGTACTATTTAGTTCATCTTTTGTTCGTTTAAACAACTTCTGCAGAATGTTGCGTGAGTTCCAATTGCTTAAAAATTTAAAAGGACATGCAATGCGGACCGGGTTTTATTAGTTGAGAATACATTTCATTTTATGTAAGACCCTAAAGAGATGCAATACGGTTAAGATGTTTGTTAATAATCGAAGTTTCCAGATTTAATTCTTAAATACCTGTCACTGCCGTATCAAAGACAAAAATTTCAGTGAAAAACTGTGTAGTTCTTAGGTACTCTGATAAAGTCCAAGCACATCGGAGAAAATTCCCGAACCAGTGCTCATAAGAGTTTTTGAAGAGTAAAGAGTGATATCGCACTCTGGTTAGTGATAGATATGATTGATTTATGCCTCAAATTCGATCTATCTACATATAGATGTGAATGTTAAGTACGTCTAGCAATACCTAGACTGGTCTGAGGTTTTGAGGCATTACAGAAAACGTCATGAATTGCTTTTTGCATAGGTTTTTCTTTAAGTTGTTCAGGTTGTGCCTTGCAGAAGTTCAGTCTTTCTTGACATACTTATTGGTCTATAGGCTTTTAAGGTATTATGGTTTAACTCCCTGACTTTGGGAATAAATACAACCTCTGAAATTATTATACCAAGTAGTTTCTGAATACATAGTCTACTAAACACTGGCATTGTTACTGATCTTTACAGCAAAGCTATGAAAATGGTATCTAAACGTGTGGATTTATAGGTGTTAGAAGAAGTGCTCAGCTATGGAACTTTTTAGTTCAACAAAGCAGATTTGGAACGCAGCAAGGTTTCTAGATCACAATCTCTATTATCGTTATCCCTGTAATTTCTTATTTTTGGAATCCTCTAATATTCAGAAATACGTACTTATGTACATATGTATGTATGCTTTTAAGTTATGAGAACACTCTGCACGATACGTTACGATACGCAACATATGTGTGTCCACCACTTATTATACAATAAATAAATAAATACACACATCCAAGTCATACACAGACAGTCGTCAGTGAGTACGATGATAATTGAAATAATAATGGTTGGGAGGATTAAAAGATTCACAACAAAACAATTTTGAATTGTAGATATTACGACAAGAACACAGAGCTTTGAGAGTGGGAGAAACGAGGATGAGTATTTGTCAAAACAATAAATAATAATGTTAAAATGAGAACATAAAAAGAATATGCAAAATAAACAAAATCAACATTTAATTGAGAGGAGTTTTTGACATATGTACAAGCAGAAGAAGACAAATGAAAAAAAAAAAGAAGAAGGAGACTAGGAGCAGAGCAGAAGAAACAGATGTAAAGGAATAACATAAACATTCAATAAATGTCAAAATAACATGACAAATAGAATAATTGAATCAATTTATTTGTGAACAACTTATAAATACTTATTATTATTTTTGAGCAGTAACTAATACATTTTTTGTTTAATGTGTATTATTAAAAATTATTTTGTATTTATTTCTTTTTTGTTTTTCAAAATACGTTTGCAGTTATTCTTTAAATTTTAAAGCCGAATGAATATTTTATTTTTGATTTTCATTTGATATGAAACAAAACAAAACACCGAAAACGCTTGAAATTAAATTCCAGCTTCCTTTAGACCGGCGCATTTCACAAATAATTTCTCAATTTCTATTTTTATTATATTTTTATGATGTGCCAAATAAAAAACACAGCAAAACGACGGCAACCAACAATCACACAATTCCCTTTGAGCTGAATACAGTGGAAGCAGTGATAAAATAACATCTCTATGTACTTGAAATCATCACTAAAACATAGGATGGAAAGTGTAAATAGTTGTTTAAAAATTTCCAGTTTCCACATTCGAATTTCGAAAGTGAAACTCCTGCTGTGTTTAACAGTTTCATATTTCGTTTCTGTTTGTCGTGTGACTACTCTGGTGGTGGCTCCAAACGACTGACAGTTTATTTTTGTAAACACATTTTTAACCTTCGTTTAAAAGCGCACACCATCACACATACAACACTGCAATAAACACATGTTTGTTTATTGTTTTTTTCTCTCCCTGTTTATAGTTGTTTTGTTGTCTTTCTTGTCTTGTTTCTTTTTGGTCTCAAGAAGAAGCTAACGAACGTATTTAAGAATAAAAACAAACTTTTTAGAGTTTTGTTTAATAATTGAGAAAAATCTTTCACGCTCTCTCTCTCTATCTAGCTCTCTAAGGCTCTCTTTTTAACTGGTTTTCCAACTCTCTTGTAATAATTCTAATTTGACGCATATGCGTCACTCAGATATCTGGTAAGATTTGACTCTCAGAATCCATTAGGCTTGACTCTCATTACGTAGTAAGTATATCTTGCAGCCTCCACTTTTTTCCAAACTATCAAGTGTTTTTGTATAGAGTGCGTTTACATGGCTGAGCCAGACTATGTTGTTTCTCTGTTATATGTGGCTGTCACTGTTCACCCAGAGAGTGATGTTGTCTTGGCAGGAGAGTGTATGGGAAAAACTCTTGCATGTGTGTGGTGTTTTAGCTGTTGCGCTGCAGTTTTGAGTTTGCCTATGCGGAAACTGCCGTTAGTTCGGTTTTAGCTCTGAAACGGTATTGACGGTCTTTAAGCTAAACTACGCGCACACTTTTTTCATTTCAACAATTTGCTAAGCAAAAAAAAGATACAAAATACAAGTGTTGGAAAATAGCATCACATCAATAACAACAACATGCTTATTGTTCAACTGTCACCTATTTTCAACGAGAATTTTTATTAAATTATCCTTAACTCGACTAAAGTATAACAAAAAGAAACAACGTTTAAAACATCTATAGGGAAATTTGAAATGTCAGAAAAAGTGTTTTCATTAAATCTCGTTTCCAAAAATAATGTAGAAATAAGAAAAAATACATGATTTTGTTAAAAATTTAAGAAAATTTAAATGTGAGTACCATTAACAATGGAGAAAAGTGCGTGAGTGTGTAAAAAAATTGGAAAAATAAAAATTTATGCAAAGTGAAAAATTTGAGAAAATTTTTTAAATAATTAAATGTTTTTTAGTGTAATTAACGCTTAACGTTTACTAACGTTTTTCAGAGCTTTTAACAATTTTAACGGTCGCGTTTAAGTGTATGTGTGTGTTTCAACATGTCGCAAGATGATTAAATTGTCATTAACTTTTTCCCATGGTGGACTCTAAGAAATGCCTGCCTGCTGCTTTAAATAAAAAAGAAAAATTTAATAAAGATTTTAAAGTGAAAAAGGAAAAGAAAAAGTTTTTTTTCGGCTAGTAAAACAAAACAAACAAAAACCAAAAATAAAATAAATTAAGTGAGTAGTGAGTGAGTGAATGAGTGACACAAGTGTTTATAAACGTTGAGCGTAGCACGTTTATGGGGCTTAATTAGCAGCACACAGATAGTTTCAGCTGATGTAAGCATTAAATCAAAACGCCTGCACAAAACACAAACATAAGGAGGAAAAGAACAAAACAAAGCATACAACAAATTGAAATAAATCCTTACAGAATAGACAAAACTCGTATACTGGTCACAAACCCAGCAAGATATTTTATTGAACTGTCTGTCAGCCCAAACAAACTAACCAACCCACCCACCCATATAACGGGTTTCATTCATGCTCTTATATAAACATCTTTTTTAGAACATCACATCCCAGTGTGCAATGTACATGTATGCGTGGCTGCTTGCGTGCCTGCCACAGTGTGTGAATGAGTTTGTATGAGTGTGTGTGTATGTATGAGTATTTATAGAATCCAAGACGACAGACAAAGGACCCCCACATGAGTCGATGATATTTGTTGTTGTTGATTTGTAATGTGCACAAGTATTGGTAATGGTATTATAACAATTTAATGTTATGCGTTTGTTGCCAAGGATATATCATCTCAAATAAAAAGGAACAAACAGCAACAACAACAATTACAGCAGCATCATAAAAATAGAAAATATTGAAAGAGAAGAAAATGATTTACAAATTGAAATGTTTATAAAAAGGCGTTTTTATGGCCAAAAAACAGCACAAAATCATCAGCCGCTAAACGTATGAAAATTTCAGGCTAACTGAATTTGGTTGGTTGGCCGTTCGGTCAATGGCCCCTTTTTTTAATCATTGACAACTACTACTACTATTGCAACTCCTTCTACTATTGCTGCCTTACAAACAGCAACTAACTGCCCCTTGGCTCATCATCAACATTATACTGTGTAACTCAGTTTTTCCATGCACATACATACAGCAACTGTATGGATGGACCCAGTAAAGTAATCCTAAATAATACAGAAAATTGTAAGAAAAAAAAGCATAAAAAGGAATTCTTAATAAAATGTCAGAAATGCCAACAGCATCGACATTTCAATTTTAAATGTGTGTATGAATGAGTGCGCTATTTTTATTTTCGCCCAAAATCACAGGAAACAAACAAAAAAGCGAAAAAAAACGAAAAAGATAACTAACGAAAAGTTTTCCGAAAAACAAATATTACAACTTGATCATAAAAGGACACAAACTAGAGCAACAATTGCACAAAAAAAAAACAAAAACAAATTTGAACAGCCAAAAACAAACTGACAACCAGTAATAATGTTTTCATCAACACAAATCATTTTGTGTTGCTCTTAGCGCTGCAAAAAATAAATAATTGTTTAACAAAAAATCCCCCCTCCCCAAAAAAAAAAAAAGAATTTAATTAAAACAACAACCCCACTTTACAACTCGACTACTCTACTCTCGACTCTTTAACATATTTTCAACAACCAAAACAATTATACTTTGACCAAATTATATACCAAAAAAAAAAAGGAAATAAAAAACCCAAATTATAAATAAAATCTAAAAGAAACAAAATATATTTAAATTTATTAAAAAAAAAAACAGAAAATGCAAAAAATAATAACCCAACAATCATTGAACTCTTCTACTGTTGTGGTGGTGGTGGCGGCTGATGTCTTTAGCAAAATGAAATTAAAAGATCCTTTGGAAACGCCTTTCAAGTTACAAAAAACGGATGTTGCTGTTGTAGCTGCTTCTGCCCCCAGCAATATATGTCAACATTGTCATCGTCTTTATCAGGAAAAGCATTATCAGCAACATAACGAACGTCATCATCATCATCATCACCAACAACAACAGAAACACCAACATCATCAGCAGCATCAACATCAGCATCACCATCATCGCTATCGCCAGTCAACAGCAGCAATACATTGGATTAAAAATCTTCATTTCGTCTGGTTTGGTAAGTGCAACAACCAACACTTGTAAATGCATCATTTTCAGTTTTATTCAATTCTTTTTTTGTCATTCGTCGTTTTGTTGCATGTGCATTAAAATAATTATTTTTGCATATTTTTTTATTATTTTTACTTGGCTCCGTTTTTGAAAGTCTTTTTTAACTTCATATTTTTTTCTTTCTTTCTTTTTCGTTTTGTAAATAACAATTACTATATTTGTGAGCTGCTGTAAAAAAAATAACAAAGTAAATAAAACAATAAAAAGGGATAAAGCTGAAAAAAAGCATTAAATGTTGCTTTATTTACTTATCATTATTTGTTTAAGTTTTTTTATGTTTTAGTGGTGATAGTGATTCTCTATTTGAATATGCAACATCGAAGTAGTTTAAAAGTTATTTTTTATTCAGATCAAAATTTTATAGAGTGAAGTGACTTCGTAATAGATATATTTTCGACTTCTTAAACATTCTAGTTGAGGACTCTGTACTAAATTAAAACTACACCTTTTGTCAGATTTGGACAAGTGGAAAAAATACCGAAAAATACTTAGTGGCCTATTGATGGCCGATGTTTCCCGAGAAAAAAATCTCGAGACTTCGAATATATGTTACATAGATAAAGTAGATGTTATACCAACAGCTATGCATTAGTCAAGGCTGATAAGGTCGACAAGTATTCTTAATTATATTCACTCTTTGCCAAAATATACTGTCAAATTGATTTGGCTTTCAGGATCCAAAGGTAATCGGGGAAATGAAATTTTCAACAAATTTTTTGTCGTAAAATTAAATTTATGTTCTTCCATATCGAGTGGTCCACTTTACCCACTTCCAGATAATCCAAAATGCTCTAGTTTTGTCTTTTGCGGAAAAAGAAATAGAACTTTTGGTCTTTGATACAAACTCGTTAAGGCTTCAAAATATACTATCGAATAGATTTGGGTTCCAGGACACAAAGGTAATCGGGGAAATGAAATTTGCAACGAATCTCCCGTATCGAGTGGCACAATATGTTAACTCCTGTTGGCGCCAGTTTTACTCTAATCCAATTTACGCATTCCGATATTGCCTGGATGCTAATGTTGTAATTAGAAAGACGATATATATTTCTGGTTCTGGGTCTTCAATATGAAACCCTAAACCTGTTTTATCCCCAAAGTTAGAGCCATCCGGATTCCTAACGTCATAACAATGGACCAAATGTTATCCGGATATAATATAATCCAAACTTTGCTGTTCTACATTAATCTTTAAATACTTAATTATTTCAAAATGTTTTACATTATAAATTCATTTCAATTCATAGTATTTTCCAAACTTTCCTAATAGTGTGCACTTAGTTCGATGTTGAATGAATGAAATGATAACTAATCATTCATTCATTCATTCACTCATTTATTCGCTTATTTTGTAAACATACTTATGTTGTACGTACGTACGTATGTACGTATGTACGAGTAATTGATGCACAAATTGTGCACGATGATGTGTAACTACTCTGGTACTAAACAAATTGTTTTATGTCTGTATTTGTTGCAACTATGAATTCTATTTATCAACAAACATTTATACATAAATAACATTCAGTCATTTATTTATTCATTCACATTCATGCAACAACCAACTCGTACGTACATACGTACACCTGTTCAGTTGTTTATAAATATGTATGTGTGTGTAAGTGGCAAGTACATGAAAACAATTTTCCAGTTTTAAAATTGCACATTTGCTAAATGCACTTTTGATATTTTACAGGTCAGTGTACTCATACTTAGAAAATAAATAAATAAAAAAATAAGTGCAAACAAATACAAAAAAAATTAAATAAAGTACATTTTGTTAAATTAATTATTGCGAAAAAGGCGAACAAATAAAAATGAAAATTAACAAGATTCAGAGAAATCGTGGGAATGGCCCACAAAAAAAAAAAAAAAAAACAACAACAACAAACAATGATGCACATTTTCGTTTTATTTTCAATTTTGAATACATGTGTTAGAAATTATTATGATTGTTTAGGAAATAATATAAACAAGAGTAGAGAGGTTAACAAGTTCATGGAAAAATAATGCAAGTAAATATAAATATTTTGTTTAGAACATAATAGTAATTATTGCAGAATTCAGGTGGAAAATTAGCAATATAATATTGAAGCATATACATATATATACGATATTAAGCGAGTTTTACAACAAAACGTCTCTTGACTGGGACACGTCATCAATGTGTATATCGAAACACAGAATTTGTTGGGAATTTTAAGACCTGATCCTAGATAGAATATCATTACGAAACGGATAATTAGAGCAAATACCCGTAGACATCCGTTGCTTCTTGGATGACTCTAAACTAGACCTGATGTTCTATATTGAATACCCAGAATCACCACAGTAAATTTCAGACAGAAATCCGTGTATGGTGCCAACAGGGATTAACATATATATTTGCTAACTGTTAGAAGGCAATTAGAGCGATATCACGTGGTAAGGTTAAATCTAAGACCTTATTTGACTGTAAGAGGACCTTAACCGAATACTCTTTCAGAGGTTGGTTAACGTAGAGTCGAAGAAACTCCGTTTTGACCTTTAAAGAGGTTAGGTTTGTAAGATATGGGTATCAGGCTTCTCAGGAATAATTGGTAACGAAAGAGCGAATGTACTTATGGCCTCCGGTAGGTTATACGTTAGAATTCTAGTCTAGTAGACTGGAGGTGGTGGGTTCGATTCCCACCTGAGGCACATGTTAAGAAGCGCACAATAGGCCCGAAACAGGCCTACCTGTATTTCTTCGGATTTGATATATATACATTTTCCTTTTAAACAAACTACTTAAATACTTGCTGGAAAACGAAGAGAAGGAAGTTAACCTAACTCGGTCATAATGAGGATGAAGAGGAGACCATATCTCGTCTCCTCTGCTACTGTCCGTCATTCACGGGGAACTTTTTTTTTTTTTTTTTTTTTTTTTTTTTTTTTATTTATTTAAAACGGTATAAATTGATATATACAATTTTTCTTAAAATACTGCGACTAGTCAAAATAGACTAACTAGCAGTTTGAGGCTAATTATTTAAACATATAATTTAGTATTAACAGCAATTCAAATATTTTATAAAACATTATGCTGGTTGAAACGCCTGATGAGGTCATGAGGTTGGCATCTGTTTAGTCGTCTTACTACATTTGTGGTTCTTAATAAGGACGCTATTTCTTCATTTGGGTGGAGTATAAGTTTACGCCTATGTTGTTCTGCTTTCATAATAATTTCCTCTGTTACTGTGTTCATGTTGAGATCTCTATGGATATCAGAGTTTCTAACGTACCATGGGGCATTCAGGATGGTCCTTAGGATTTTATTTTGAAATCTTTGTATAATTTTAATAACATCGTTTTTAGCGCATCCCCATATCTGGATGCCATAGCTCCATACTGGCTTTAGAATTTGTTTATAGACAATTAGCTTATTATGGACTGAAAGGTTAGATTTTCTCCCAATTAGCCAATCCATTTTTCTCAACTTTAACTCTAGCTCATCCTTTTTCTTCTTAACATGCGCTTTCCAACGAAGCTTTGCGTCTAGGGTCATTCCCAAGTATTTAGCGGTGTTCTCGTGTGGAATCTCAATTTCATCGATAAAGACTGGTTTGTGGTTGACGTTTTTATTTGTAAAATTTACATGAATCGATTTTGAGCTATTTAGTTTGATACACCATTTTTTAGTCCACCTATCTATTCGATTTAGTGCTAGTTGTAGTTTATGTGTTGCGACTTCAACATCTTTTCCAGTTGACATGATTACAGTGTCATCTGCAAATGTGCCGACAATACAATCTGAATCTACTGGTAAATCGTAGGTATACAGTAAGTATAATATTGGTCCCAGGATACTTCCCTGCGGGACACCAGAGCTTATCGGATGAAGATTTGAGAATTCATCATTGATTTTAACACGGAAATATCTTTCTTTTAGGTAAGATTCTAGCATTTCACAGTATTGAATTGGTAAGAGCATGTTTAGTTTATGTAGCAAGCCTTTATGCCATACACCATCGAAAGCTTTTGAAATATCCAAGAATACGGATGAACATATTTCTTTGTTTTCTAGGGCATTTTCAATTGTATGTGTTATCCTATGTATTTGTTCGATTGTAGAGTGTTTTTCACGAAATCCAAATTGATGATTTGGTATAATATTTCTATTTGTAATTATACTTTTCAGCCTTTTACAGAATAGTTTTTCAAACAGTTTTCCTATCACCGGTAATAGTGATATTGGCCTATATGAGCTGGCATCTGTGAGTGGTTTTCCTGGTTTTGGAATCATTATTATCTCAGCCACTTTCCAAAGACTTGGCATATATTTTAGATTTATTATAGCATTGAAGATTTTGGTTAATATTGCAAGTGCTTTATGAGGCAAATGTTTTAAAAGCTCAGCTGCTATTAGATCATATCCAGGGCTTTTTTTGCATTTTAGTAACCGGATTTCTTTTTTCACTTCGGAATTTGTTAGTAGAGGTATTTCTTCATCGTCATTGTTAATCACTGTTTCAATACTATCGTAGATAGGTATTTGCGTTTTGAATACATTTTCTAAGTATGTCCCAAAAACTTCCACTTTTTCTTTGTTGGATTTGGCCCAGCTTCCATCGCTTTTTCTAATTGTGGATGATTGATTTATTGGCCTCTTAAGACTTTTGGTAGCTTTCCATAAGGAGTAGTCTGTCTTATTATTATATGACAAATGTGATAGATAATGATTCATGTTATCATTTTTGAATTTTTGTATCGCTCTCTTTAGAGTTTGTGTAGCGTTATTTAATAAAGTTTTATCGCAGGGAGCTCGAGTACTTTGCCATTTTCGGCGTAATTTTCTTTTAGAAGTTATCAAAGTTCTGATACTTTGGGGATAGGATACATTACTATAAATCTTAGGTTGAAGTTCAGGCATGCTTTTCCATGCGGCTTGTTGTAGGGTTGTTACAAAATTTTTAGCTTCATTTTCCA